TTCAAAGGCCCCCCCCCCCCCCAAGCTGCCAAAGCACACTACAGTACCTGTCGGGCTATGGCTAGATCTAGCTCCGGCCGCTCTGTTGTCCTGAGTGCAGCCATCAGAGCTCTTGTTTCTGCTCCTGTTTTTTTGTCTCACAAACCTGACTTCTTGCTGTGATCCCTTTAATGCTCACACCTCTCAAAAGTGCTTTTTTGTGTGGCAGCAGGGATCATTTCGTAGAAAAGGAGGTGCAGGAGCTCATTAGAATAACTCATTAGCATAACTTATTTGCATATGCCACACCCCCTGACATCACTGGAAGTGTGTCAGAAGGCAACACCCACCTCTCAAGCTCCACTGGACTGTTTTGGATTGCTAGCTATTGGGGAGGAGGGAATGTGCAGATCTGCCCTCGCAGAGGAGGAAGAGCTTATACCTGAAGGCGGACCGGGGGGGGGGGCTCTGCAACTTACCTGGCTGCGTCTTGTTCCTCATGGCCCAACTGAGGACTGCTGGGAGCAGGGGGCGGGGCTTGTTGCATGTGCCCACTCCCTGAGCTCCTTACTGCCGGAGCTCCGCTCCTGTGCGCTCCTGCAGGAAATGACCCCTGGATGATTGTTATCCCACTAGGTACTACAGTCGGGCTTTCATTTTTTTTATTTGGCTCGATCCTTAGGATCTGCAAGAAATAAAGGAATTGTCTAAGGAGGGGAAAGAAGAACTGGTGGAAGAGTCCAAAGCGAGCAAGCGGCTGACCAAGCGGGTGAACCGGATGATCGGGCAGATCGACAAAATTATTGGGGAGCTGGAGACAGAACAAAAAGTGGTGGACGGGCAGCTGGACAGTGGCGCAAGCCCTCCCATTGGGTGAGTGCTCGGTGATAACGGAATACAGGAGGTGGATTCTCTTACAGTGCAATCCTAAAGAGGGTTACTCCAGTGTGAGCCCATTCATTTCAGTAGGCTTAGACTGGAACAACTCTGCGTAGGATTGTACTGTTTGTCGTAGTTGCTGGGTAGAAACTGGTTAGAACACAAGCATTAAATATACATACAAATACAGTTGTTAAGAAGAAGAGATTGGATTCATACCCTGCCCTTCACTACCCAAGGGAGTCTCAGAGCGGCTTACAAACTCCTTTCCCTCCCCCTCCCCGCAAGAGACACCCGGTGAGCAATGCTCCCTCTAAGCTGTGGATCCCTGTGAGCAAAAATTGTACTCTGTGAGCTACCGGCATTAAAGTTATGAGCAGGAGATTTGGCTACTGCATAAATCAGTGTGCTCTGGAGCCCTCCTTCCTGAGCTGAGACAAAAATGTGTGAGCCAGAGGCTAAAAAACTGTGAGCTAGCTCACACTAACTCAGCTTAGAGGGAACATTGCCTGTGAGGTAGGTGGGGCTGAGAGAGCTCTGACAGAAACTGCTCTTTTTCAAGAACAGCCCTGCCAGAACTACCGGCTTCCCTGAGGTCATCCAGCAGGTGCATGTGGAGGAGTGGGGAATCAAACCCGTTTCTCCCAGATTAGAGTCCGCACACTTAACCACTACACCAAACTGGCTCATATTTGTGTACATTTAATTATCTTAGTCGAAAACATGCTTGACTCATACTTGTGTACATTTAACTATCTTAGTCCAAAACATGTTACAATGAAAAACAACTACAAACTCAGTCGGAAACGAGGGAGAGATGAAAATGTCCAGTGTAACTTTTCAGATCTGTGTGTATAGATCACGAGGTCCCAGATGTATTACGTTCCCTCATTGCACCCTAAAAGACTTCATCAGATCAATACGATACGGTAAATGTGTAGAACCATATCAGTAGATCTTACTCGCAAGTCTATCACATGGCACATAAGTAATAGCACTTCCAGTAGGTGGTACCAAGTCCACACCATCACTCAGACCTTACATAGTTTACACAAAGTCTGAGATCTTTCCACAAACACATCTGTATGCTTGTTGATGTCTTTGGAAGTATCTGTAAGCATTGCCTTAGTCTGATAAACATCTGGGTTCTTCTTTCTGTCTTACAATCCCTCCTAGCAGTCCTGTCTATAAGAAGCTTTTTCCTGTACCTTTCTTAAATTTGTTGGAACACCGGGAACACTTTGCAAATTCTTGCACTGGATTAATGTTCTTTTAATGCTGCTGCTTTTAATTGTTGTCTGTAAGGGGCGTTTTTATTATTACTGGTATGTTTTAATCCTGCTTGAAATCAAGACTGCTTGAAATCAGTAACTAGATGTGGAAAATGCAGAGCATTCAGAAACAGTATATAACATCACCATCAATAGACATAAATATACTTTATAATAGCTTTCTTGATAGAACAGCTAAATTTTTAACGTTTTCAGTCTAAATTATGTGTGTCTTCAGAGGCAATGCATCATTGGCCATTTCAGTGATTTTATAACTTGTACCAGAGCTGTTTGGTTTTAGACCAACCCTGCCAGGGGTGTAAATATATAAATAATAAAATTTCATCTAGCAGTCAAAGGGTTTGACCCAGTGCAAGAACTATGGATCTTTCCCACACCTCCCTTGCCCACTGCTGCTTCTTTCCGTCTCTTGACAGCTTGACCCATTTTCCATCTTTCTTCTGTCCTTCCCACCATCAGCCAACCTGCCTTTTATCTTTTCCCCCCTCTTCCATATTCAGCTTTCCCTCCTTCCTTCCACTGGCATCTTCTTCCTGGGAGAAATCTGACGGAGTTGTGTGATGGCTGCCACTGAGCCTGGCGGAGCTGTGGGGATAATGAGTCTCCAGCCGTTGGCACTTGGCCTATCCCTGGCAAAATATCCTTCATCATGGGGGGAAACAGGTGGGGGGGGGGGTTGGGAGCTTCTCCAGGGCTGTTTTGGCCTCACCACCCACCCCCATGGCTTTGCTTTACAGAAGCCAAGGCTTAGAAGCCTGGACAATATCGTGGTTGCCTAGCAACCCCTGCAGTGATTACTGAGATCACAGATCTTCGTGGGCATTCTTGGTTTAAATCTACAGGTTATTCTTTCTCTTATTTTGGGAGTTTTAATCCCCTAAGGGTTTGGGATTTTTTAAAAAAAGATTTCAGATTATTATTTTTTTGCCAAACGTAGGGGTTTGTACAGAAATTTCCCCATCTGTCCCTGGCTCCGTTTTCCAGCTTTTTTTGATCTATGCTCTGTGGCCCAGTTCAGGAGTAGATATGATGATATACGGTAGGGGTTTGGGTTTTTTTTTTTTAACTCCTCTGTAGTAACTGCCTGCTATATACAGGTTGTGTTTCCCATTTAGGGAGAATCTCATCAGTATCAATGAGCTGATTAGCGTGATGAGACAGCTTCAGAAAATTCCAGAAAGCAAACTGAACCGGCTTGCTGAAGCGCTGGATGAAAACCAAGATGGCAAACTTGACATAGATGATGTTGTGAAGGTGAGTCTTCCATGAAGTGTTCTGTTCTCTATTTTTGGAAGTTTCCAACCCAGACAATTATAGCAAATATAAATAAAAACAGTATATAATTATTTAGCTCTGAAAAATTAACATTTTATGTGAAGGATACCTTCATATGAAATGTTAATTTTCCACAGCTAAATAATTTTATACTATTTTTATTTTATCAACTTATGTATGATATATTACTAGTTAGCTGCCTTATTACCAGTTATCTGCAGTGTTCCCTCTAAGCTGAGTTAATGTGAGCTAGCTCACAATTTTTTAGCCTCCAGCTCACACATTTTTGTCTCCGCTCAGGAAGGATGGCTCCAGTGCAAGCTAATTTATGCAGTAGTCAAATCGCTCGCTCACAACTTTAATGCCAGTAGCTCGCAAAGTAGAAGTTTTGCTCACAAGACTCCACAGCTCCACAGTTTTATTTTCCACTTTAAATATGTATTGCTTCTTCACAATCTAATCAGAAGTTTTTACATTCCTTTGTGTGTGGGGGGAGGGGGTTAGAGACTTCCTCTGTTGGCCATTTTATGTCCAGGTAAAACACACACCACAACCATGCCTGCCTGTGTTAGACTGTATTATAAAGCCACCGTGTACACTGATGAAGCTGTACTTTGACAAACGCACACCATGTACATTGATGAAACTTTGGGGAAGGTCTGTGTCTTAGTGGTAAAGCCGCTGCTTGGGACAGAGAAGATCCCCAGCATTTCCAGTTAAAAAGCATCAGGCAGTAGGTGATGCAAAAGGCCTCCGCCTGAGACCCTGTGGAGCTCCTGTCAGTCCAAGTAGACAGTATTAAACCGGATGGACCAATGTGCATAACATAAGAGATGCCAATGTTGGATCAGGCCAATGGCCCATCCAGTCCAACACTCCGTCACACAGTGGCCAAAAATACCAGGGGCCACCAGGAGTTCCAGCAGTGGGGCCAGGACACTAGATGCCCTTCCACTGTTGCCCCCCCCCAAGCACCAAGAATACAGAGCATCACTTGCCGCATACTGAGAGTTCCTATTTCTACTTTGTGGCTAATAGCCACTGATGGACCTCTGCTCCATATGTTTATCCAGTTCCCTCTTGAAGCCGTCCATGCTTGTAGCCGCCGCCACCTCCTGTGGCAGTGAATTCCACGTGTTAATCACTCTTTGGGTGAAGAAGGACTTCCTTTTATCTGTTCTAACCCGACTGCTCAGCAATTTCATGGAGTGCCCACGAGTTCTCGTATTGTGAGAAAGGGAGAAAGTATAAGGCAGCTTCATGCGTTCATGTATACACGTGTACCAATGATACATCCCTTTTCATCAGCGTGCATGTTCAGTTGTCCCCATTTACAGTCTTCCATTTAGATCAATGATGGCACCTGGTATTTCTGAACACTGTGTGACACAGAGTGTTGGACTGGATGGGCCTTTGGCCTGATCCAACATTGGCGTCTCTTATGTTCTTATGTTCTTATCAGGATGGGTGTGTTAGTCTGTCTGTAGCAGTGGAAAAGAGCAAGAGGCCCTCAAAGACAAACATTTGTGGCAGGGGAGGAGCTTTCATGGGTCACGGCTCACTTCTTCAGACAGAAAAAGTGAGCAGTGGCTCACGAAAGCTCCTACCCTACCACAGATTTTCTTTGTCTTGAAGGTGCCACTGGGCTCTTGCTCTTTTCCACTCTTCTGTTTGAACAGCTTTTATTGGGGAGGGATCCTGACGGTGGAGCCGAGTACCGTGGCCTCTGCACTCCCGTGGCACCAGCACTGGGTAAACCCTAAGCAGGACGGGGGCCGCTGTGGAGAGGAAGGCAGGGCCACGAGGTCACATGAACACACACGAAGCTGTCTTATAGCGAGTCAGACCCTTGGTGCGTCACCTGGTCGATATTGCCTACTCAGACTGGCAGCAGCTCTCCAGGGTCTCAGGCGGAGGCCTTTCCCATCCCCTGCTTCCATGATATTTTTGACTAGAGGGACCAGGGATTGAACCTGGGACCTTCTGCATGCCGAGCAGATGCTCTCTCACTTTGACACCACTCTGCCACTGCCCCTCCCCGTCTTGTGCTAGCAAAATGCAGGGGTCATTTCCTGCAGGAGCACACAGGAACAGAGCTCCGGCAGTAAAGAGCCCAGGGGGGCGGGCACATGCAACAAGCCCCACCCCCTGCTCCCAGCAGCCCTCAGTCAGAGCAAGAAGCAGCCAGGGAAGTTACAGAGCTCCCCCCCGGCCCCCCGGTCCAAAACAGTCCAGTGGCACCTTTAAGACCAAGTTTGATTCAGGTACAAGCTCTCCCTCCTCTGCGAGGACAGATCTGCATGTGTCTCCCCCCCCCCCCAATAGCTAGCAATACAAAAGAGTCCAGTGGAGCCTGAGCGGTGGGGGTTGCCTTCTGACACACTTCCGGTGATGTCAGGGGGTGTGGCATATGCAAATAAGTTATGCTAATGAGTTGTGCTAATGAGCTCCTACACTTCTTTTCCTACAAAATGATCCATGGCAAAATGGTATAGTAAGGAGGGGTCGCGTGGCTATCTTGAGGCTGTCAAGCTGAACCCCGTTTCCCTTGGGCAGGATCCTTCCCAAGCTATTGTGACTCAGGCAGAGGTGTGGGCTCCTGCAGCAAAAGGTCTGAAGAGGCCGCCCACCAATGCTCCCTCTAAGCCAGCGATGGCGAACCTTTTAGAGACCAAGTGCCCAAACTGTGACCCAAAACCCACTTATTTATCACAAAGTGCCAACACGGCAATTATTAAGATGATCCAAACAAAGTAAGGAAAGCAATCCCAAATGCTTTCATTTACTTAAAATTATTTGGCAGAGAATTCCACACTTTAATGACAGTCTAGCCCTGGCTGGGGCGATGGCACGCCTGCCCACAGAGAGGGCTCTGAGTGCCACCTCTGGCACCCGTGCCATAGGTTCGCCACCACTGCTCTAAACCGTGGAGTCTTGTGAGCAAAAATTCTACTTGGTGAGCTGCTGGCGTTAAAGTCGTGAGCGAGCGATTTGGCCGCTGCAGAAATTAGTTTGCTCTGGAGCCATCCTCCCTGAGCTGAGACAAAAAATTGTGAGCCAGAGGCTAAAAAACTGTGAGCTGGCTCACACTAACTCAGTTTAGAGGGAACACTGCCGCCCACTAGGGGTTGGTCTCTCGAGGACAGGTTTTAGATGACTGACCTAGAGATTAACTTGGAGAGTGTCGGAGAAGACTGGCTGAAGGAACAAAGTTCATTGTGAAGGGATTCCTACAATGTAATCAAGGTATGTCTACGGTTCATTGCCAACAAGAGACCAAAAAGGCTGTGTACAGGCGCTGAATGAGCAAAATATATCGTAATACAATGAAATACAAACAAGTACCAAATACAAAGTATTTATAATGTGTATAATAAAGGTCCACAGTTGAATGAATACATGACGAAATTTCCAGATAATATTTTCGTTTTGTGAGTCTTCTTCAGAGAAGGACCAATACGTGACTTCAATCTATCAAAAAGTAGTTACAGGTAGACATTTTTTTGGATATAATTTTATAATCTTTGCTGCATTTATAATTTTTGCTATATTTATGGTGTTAATAATTAAAAAATTATAAAAATGGAATTAGCTGCAGGAGCCATTGCATTTCTTTGTATTTCATGTTGCAATATATTTTGCTCACTCAGCGCTTGTACACAGCCTTTTTGGTCTCTTGTTGGCATTTCTGTGACTGTGGGTTCTCTGTTACAGTTCAATGCCTACATACGGTGACAATAGTTATTTTCTTAAAATACCGCATTAGTCTTTCTACAGCAATACATTATAAAATATTGTGAAACTGGACCCCGGTTGTTGTTGGGTATGATCTGTGCTTCGCTTAGGCACCATCTTTTGGTTACTTTCCTTCTTAACTGGAGGGTTTCAAAAGATTCGTACAGGAAGCAAAAGCATAATTTCTTTCCCTCTTACATTTGCCAGGTAGTAGACCTGATTGACAAAGAAGACATCGATATCTCAACTAGCCAAGTTGCAGAAATAGTGGCGCTGTTGCAAAAGGAGGAAAAACTGGAGGAAAAAGAGAAGACGAAAGAGAAGGCCGAGAAGGAAGCCGCAGAAGTGAAGAACTAGTCTCACTCTGGTTCTGAGCTTGGAACTGAATGGGGGAGGCTTCTTGTGTATTTGTCCAGCAACTCTGGTTCTGAGCTTGGAACTGAATGGGGGAGGCTTCTTGTGTATTTGTCCAGCAACTGTTATTTGTTAAATGATGGGATACGCTATTGATTGGAGAGTCAGAATGAAATGCTTCACCGTGATCAGTCACAAGCAGTTTAATTGTCATTCCACGGAGATGAAGAGTGTTAGAGCTTATTCCTCCTGCTGGAGCCCCGTGCCCTCTGCGCTGTGGCCGAACAGCACGCTCGACAGACCCCCAAATCATGTTACAAACCGAGAATGTTCTCACAGACAAATGAAAACAGCCCTCTCCCTTGAATCATGCCAAAAGCCAGCACCTTCCTTTTCAAGGCTCTTTCGCCGGCAGGAAGGCATTCCTCCTTACTTGGCAGGAAAAGTCTGTTCAGCCCTGGTTAACAGTTCAGAAGCCATTGAAAAGAATTCTCATCTCCATTTTTACCTGTTAACATTAATGAAAGGACTTTTACCCAGACTACACCATACGTTAGTTCTAAAAGCGCCCTAGGTGCCTTGTTACTGGAAAGGTACAGTTCAAGCTGTTAACATTTCAAGAACCACGCAGTATCCAGAGACTCCTCGTCCCCCCCTCCCAGTAGCATTTCCATGACGGGCTTTGCCAGTTTCTGAATGGTAAATAATAAGCTGGGGAGCCCTGAGGACTCACTGGGGAGGGGAAATCTCATTCTCCCCCACTCCACTGGCCCTCTTGCCCACGCTGATTCTGCTGTGCCCCCCTGCCGCCTTCCGTCCGTCCCTCCCCCCGCCCCAAGGGCTTTGGCCCCAGCTCCTCACCTCTTTAGTGCCCCCCCTCTATG